GATTGGAAAGGACAAAATGGGAAGCTTCTGGAGTGCCCACCATGTTCTGATTTTTGAATGGATGGTGGTTACCCAAGTGTTGTCAGTGTTAATTATGTTTTGTTTTGTTTTGTTTTGTTTTTTGTATGTTAGTTACATTTCTACCCCTACCCAAAAATCTTCAAAAGATTTTTTTTAAAAAAGACAAAAAAATAAAAAAATAAAAATAAAATAAATAAAAAATAAAAAAAAATTTTTAAAAAGACTAAGTAGGAAGTACAGGTAAGGCAAACAAGGCTGAAAGACAAGATATACAGACTCAGAAATGAGATGAAATTTCATGGTCTGTCCAGGAACCACAAATAAAACAGAATGGATGGAGAGTAGCACAGGAAGGAGGCAGCAGTGAAACATAAGGCTGTAGGAGTCTGAAATGGTCCTAATTTCATCTTTCATATTTCTGCATATAATAATGAACCATGTAGTTCAATAGAGTTTTGGCATATTTAAAACTACAGTTACATTACTTCAATTAAATATACTAAAGAGTGACTATAAAAATGGCAGCTTTCATTGGAAACATAAAAGATTATATAATTTGCAGGCGCCTGGTTGGCTCAGTCATTAAGCATCTGCCTTCAGCTCACGTAATGATCCCAGGGTGCCAGGATCGAGCCCCGCATCAGGCTCCTGTTCAGCGGAAAGCCTGCTTCTCCCTCTCCCCGTCCTCCTGCTTGTGTTCCCTCTCTCACTGTCTCTCTCTCTGTCAAATAAATAAAATCTTTAAAAAAAAAAAAAAGATTACATAATTTGGATATTGTTCATATAGCAGTTCATATTGCTAAATAATTTTAAGCATTTTTTTAAAGATTTTATTTATTTATTCATAAGAGACAGAGAGAGAGGCAGAGGGAGAAGCAGTCTCCCCGCTGAGCAGGGAGCCCAATGCAGGACTCGATCCCAGGACCCTGGGACCATGACCTGAGCCGAAGGCAGATGCTTAACCATCTGAGCCACCCAGGTGCCCAATTTTAAGCATTTTGATAAGTAGAGTAAACCAAATATTCCTTTTAATATCCATACATTAAATTGCTTAACAATTTATTATAGTCCAAAAGCTTTAGCCTAGCTCATGTCTGAATTTTCACAAATTCTTAACATGACCCAAATCAATGAAGTTTTACTTTCTTGTAGGCACTAAAGTGTATGGCTGTGGAGTCATCTTGTCTGGTTTAATCATAGCCTCACCACTTACTAGCAATTTGGGCAAGTTACCAAATCTCTCTCTTCCTGAGTTTCCTCATCTGAGAATAATGATAGTATCTACCTTATGGAGTTTTGTAAGGGTTAATTAAGATTAGGCATATAAAGCATTTCACATAGTGCCTGGCACAGAATAGGGACTTGGTATACCTATTATTTTTTACTATAATTGCTAAATATATATGGAGATTGACAGTCTGTTCCCTTTTGAAAATACGGTGAAATTACTTGCCAGTGTTTATACATTGCATGTTTATCTGAGGAAACAGTGTTTCATAAATATTTCAAAAACACATAGCAATCTTCAGAAGTAAATTGGTGGAAAGAACATATATATGTCTTGGACAGTTTTCATAGAGTTACATCATCAGAGCAAAGCTTTTGGCATTGAGCAAGTTCTTAGCTTTATACTGGAAGGTGAATCTATTTCTAAACTTTGATTTTTGTCTATGAAGCTTTTAAGCAAATGAGCATAAAAAAGTCTATTGACATTTTATTTTCGAAACTATGAGGATAAATGATAGAATGTTGCTGACCTTCAGTGTTTTTCAATTTTAATCATAAAAATCTACTTTGCATTTGTACAGTTTTCAAAGCAATGACAAAATGCTTTTTTTCATCAGCAATTCACAATAGGTATAATAAAGCATTTACAAATCATGTAGCGTCAATTTAAAAGTAATCAACCACACCCAATAATGCTGTGAACAGCACCATTTGTTCCTTCTTCCAAAGAGTTGAGCAAGGACTGATGGCGGCTGGGGAGCTAGGAGGAGGAAGACGGATGGTTTGCAGCTGCTGTTAACCGCCTATGCTGTTCAAATTCTAGCCAAAACAACTACCGCCTCCCCCTGAATTTCCTGGTTTCAAAAGTAATAGAGCCAAGGGGTACCTGGCTGGCTCAGTCAGTAGAGCATGTGACTCTTGATCTCAGGGTTGTGAGTTCAAGCCCCATGTTGGGTGTAGAGATTACTTAAAAATAAAATCTTAAAAAAAAAGAAGTAATTAAAAAAATAAACAACAAAAAAGTAATTGAGCTTCTGATATTACTGCTCTAGTACAAGGACATCAAATCAAAGGAGGACGTCAAATCAAAGGCTTGGTCTCAAGCACCGAGCCTGTTGTGGAGAGGTAATTACTCACTCTGGGCAGCACTGATGAAAATTCTTCACTCTGTGTGCACAACTCTCCCCTTCCTCACGTCTCTCAGCTGAATCAGGCTTCTAGCCTCTTTGCAGCACAGTTTAATACATTAGTAAGAATCGAGGGAATTACATAAAGGGAAGTTCTCATAAAAATTCCTGGATTTATTTTTCCTCTTTTTGCTCCTGGGTTTACTTTTCTTGAATGATGCTGGCATGTTTAAAGCAAGTCCCAATGTTGGATAAGAAGGACAATTTGTTAAAAGAATGAACCCTAGCCCATCTATCACTCTCCTTCTCCTCTTCCCACTAATGAAGAATTGGATCACTTTTTCTGTATCCTAGGATGCTGAACACTGTCTAATGTGATCTAGGTGGCCTGGCCTGGACCTGAGCAGGCTCTGGTCAGCAGAGTCCCTGGTGTGACCCATAGCAGAAGTTGCAAACCAAGGAGATAATGGGCCATAATCAGCCTTCAGACAGGTCTCACTTGATGTGTACAGTATTAAAATATTTGAATTAACTGTCACTTTTTAAAATTGGTAAATATTACATAAGAATCTGGACTTGGGAGTCTTCTTAAAAATTAGAAGGTCTAATAACAACTGGGCCCACATGCTTATATGGCAGCCCTGAGCCGGAGCTACTGCCCTCTTTGGATGAGGTTCTGAGTCTTTTCTAGGTCCCACAGCCCCCTCCAGAACAGGTCCTTTCTTCATTTTATCAGCCTGGTGCCTTCAGGCATTTGAGTGTGGGGCTCAATGTAGTAGGTCAGTGAGTTAGGAAGCCCTGATCTGGAGTGTGAGCTTAGGGGCACCTAATCCACAGGGTGAGTTGGGACATGAGATCTAGAGCATGCATTAGGGCCTCTGCTCTAGAGTGTGAGTTAGGAACCTCTAGAATTCTACAGGTCATGTTTTTGGAATAAATCCAAATCTCTACAATGATCTTCTTTCTGGAGATTTTTTAAACCAACAATGACTTATCTCTGAAGACAACTTCATTTAAAGCTCTCTTTCCTGAACTGGACCACCAACAGACAGGCACACCCCTGGTATCTAAGTGTTTACTTTGTGCCAGACACTGGGCTCATGTTTTACAGTTACTATTGAACAACTCTATGAGGTACTACAATTATTTATCCTTGTCTCAGAGAGGCAAAGTAACTTGTTTCAGATCTAGTAAATGGCAGAATCATGATTTGAACCTAGGTGATTTGCTTCAAGAGTCTAATGCTCTTAGTAAAATACTGCATTGCGTCTCTTTCCAGAGGAGAGGACCTTATTTATTTAAAAAAGCGGCAACAGTTATATAGCACATACTGTATGCCAGATACCTTCTAGGAACAAATATTAATTTATTTAATCCTTCTGACAATCCTATAGGGTAGATCCTATTCTTATTCTCACTTTGCAGATAAGGAAAGTGGGGAACAGGGGTACAAAGTACCTTGCCAGGCTAGTAAGTTGCAGAGCTGGAATTTGCACCCAGGTTCTAGAGTCTGTTTTTCAAACTGATGCTCCACGAGTACCCTGGAGCTCTGTTAACTGAATATGTTAAACCTAATTTTTTTCATTTGTGGTCCTTTAATAAGTATTTTTAAGCACTTGCCGTAATTGTCATGTCTATGCTGAGTGCTACTTATCAAAAGACACAGACCTCCAGATAGAAGAACATATACACTTGAGGTGGTTGAATAATGAATGTAAGGAACTGAGCCCAAACAAACATGATCTTAACATAAACTTATGTTAAGATATATTTGTATAATTTTTCTCTCTCTCTAAATTTTCTAGATTTCTCAGTTTGTAATTCCTCCCAAAACTGCTGTGTGTGTTTGTGTGTGTGTGTGTTTAGTGCATTAACATTTCTTTTACTTTGAGACTCAAGACAATAACCTTACTTTAGAGAGAGTGCAAGAGGGTGTGGAGTCGACCTGGAAAGCTGGATTTATTCCATTGTCATAACCAGAAAATGAGGTGTTCCTTAGAAATACATTCTCCACCTGAACAGGAACTCCCTTAAGCACCGATGTTATTCTGTTATAACTATCTTCTTGGTGATTGTTTTTAACATGTTACATAACTCTGCCTTTGAAAACCATATTCTGAAACAAGAGAATGGAGGGAATGCGTTCATTATCATTATCAATTTGGGACAATGAAGTGTAGAAAGCCCATTAAGTGACCCTAAACTGTAAAGTTTTTATAGTTCTTTTATCTAGTTTTATAATTCATTTTATTACCTCTGATGTCATCTCCCTTGCTACTACCATTGTGTCCCTGCTCCTTCTTAGCGGGTCTCTGAGCCTCAACCAAATCACTTGGCATTGGACATGAGATACTTTCAAGTTGTACACACAGGCAGAGAATTAAATAACACTGAGTCTCATAGACAGAAAGTTGTGCCCTTGTCAATTCTTTTTAAGCCTTCCAATCAGTTTGGAGTTAATATATCTTTAACACCTCTCTAACGGCTAATTTTCCTTTTCAACAAAGAGAGAACAGAGCTGTGGCTCAGAATCTTTGGTAGATAACAGTATCTGGCTAGAATCTAACAAGTGTTTTTGTTGTATTCATTTGTATGACAGCTTTCTACTTACGGTAAGTGATTCTGCTTTTATGGTCAAATGAGAAATATAGATTCCTTTTGAAATAAATGGAAGTTAAAATGAAAATTAAGAGGCACCTGGTTGACTCAGTCAGTTGAGCATCCAACTCTTGATCTCAGCTCAGGTCTTGATCTCAGGGTCGTGGGTTCAGGCCCCGCATTGGGCTCCAACTTTAAAAACCAAAAAAGAAAAGAAAATTAAAAGAGGAAATTTAAGAATATGGAAATACAGATGGTACTCAGATATGATAAAAATTGTGAAAGTGTGCTCAATGACTTAAGTTTGGGATACACCACCCCAGTCCAATACACACTTGGTAGTAAAGGGAGCTGAGGGTGGCTCCATGCCTCTCATGAAAAAGTGGATGATCTTTGTGAGAACTTTGTGAGAACCATACATATATTTAAAGAACTGAGCATGTCAGAGTCCTACTATTCTTCCCTGCCACCTGCAGTTTGGGTGAATACTCCTCTAGGTACCTGTCTCCTCCACTGTTCAGTCAGTCACACCAGCCAGCTCCTTCTATGGGACAGCCCTTCACATATATCCAGGTGGTATCCTGTTCTTCCCTTATTTGACATATAGTTGCAGAACACCTGTAAGGGTCTTCAGACCCCTCACTCTCCTGAACACATTGATTTTAACATACTCCAGCTTGAAACTGCCTCTAATTTGGCCCTTAAATTGAACATAATCCACCTATTAACTCAACAAATATTAACTGAGCACCAATGTGGTAGGCACTGTCCAGGTATCAAGAAATAGCGGTGAACAAAATGTGGATATCCCCCTGCCTTCACAGAGCTTTCATTTTGGTGAGGGAGGCAGATACTAAATGAGATAACGGGGTGAGGGACACCTGGGTGGCTGAGTCAGTTGGGCCTCCAACTCTTGATTTAGGCTCAGGTCATGACCTCATGGGTCAAGGTATCAAGTCCCAGTTTGGGCTGCACACTCAGCGGGGAGTCTTCTTGAAGATTCTCTCCTTATTCCCCTTCCCCCACTCACATGGGCATGTGTGCACAGGTACGCACTCTTTCTCTCTCTCTCAAATAAATAAGTCTTTAAAAAAAGATAACCAGGTGAATACACTAGTATATTCTGATTATTATTTAGATGGTGATAAATGTGTAAGGGAAGGAAAATAAACAGGAAGTATTCCAATGTTGCTATACTTAGCACGGAATTCAGTACTCAGCATAGAATTCAGTGAGCCACCTTCCTATGGAGGCAATTTTCTTTCAGATGACCATGATCACATTGGATTAACTGCTAATTTATAATTAATCTGTAGTCAGCTAAAGTCTCTAGGGTTTCCTCTTTCCCCCACCAAATGAGCATGTATTAAATCAGATTTTTCTCATTCTGTGTTTTGAACTATGAAAAGAACTAAGAATTTATCCCTTTTCAAAAATTTTTTTGGAACATTTATACCACCAAACCAAGAGTTCTTCAAATCCTCATTTTCTTAGCCAGTGTATTTGCAAACCACTTCTTTGCTATATAATTATCATTTTTCATTGACTCCAAAACATTGTTGATTGTAAAACACACCATTTCTTCATGTACTAAGAGAAGAAAAAAATGTATGAATTAAACTATGACTTACTACTTTCTCACTTAGTAATTTAATTCTTACCAGTGGTAAAAGCTCCATTAGACATTTTTAAACATTAATTATTCCTTCTATCTCTCTCCTACATACATAAAAAAAGGAAAAATAAGTGCAATAAAGATATCCCTAAAGCATCTTTACATTCAAGCCCCAATTCTTCTAAATCACTTTCAAACTCAGAGCCCGTGTGGCCCCTTTTTTCCACATTATTTTTCCTCTGGGCTGTCAGGAGTATTGGAAATGCCACATTCCTTAAAAGAGTGCTGGGCTTTTCTCTGAAGTACCTGATACCCATTCTGCAAGTTTGAGACTGAGGCTCCTTGATATTGCCAGAGGTTACCAATGGCAAGTTTTCAGGCAACAACCAGGGAACTAGGACTCATAGTGTAGTTCAAGTGATCCTTAAATAGTTTGTTGAGTGAAACCTCAAGCACTCTGTCTAGGCATGCCATATGGAAAAACAACCCAACTTCACACAGGTAGTGATACCCACTATAATTATCACCTGGCCAACAGTAGTGATTAAAATGCCAGGAGAGATTTCCAAGCCAAGGCACATCCTTTATTCTTGTATTGAATTTTGTAATTTATGAAGACACACTTTCATAAAAATGAAATGCTCATCTCTACTCATATATATATATATATTTTTTTTTTTTTTTAAAGATTTTATTTATTTATTTGACAGAGAGATAGCGAGAGCAGGAACACAGGCAGGGGGAGTGGGAGAGGGAGAAGCAGGCTTCCCACAGAGCAGGGAGCCCGATGCGGGGCTCGATCCCAGGACCCTGGGATCATGACCTGAGCCGAAGGCAGACGCTTAACGACTGAGCCACCCAGGCGCCCCTCTACTCATATATTTTTAAGTTATCAGCTATAATCTACATATTTCTGTGTTTCACTTTTGTCAGGTAAATAGTATTTTTCATAAACTTTAAGATTTCTTATACTTTCATGAATTTTTAAGTTTTCATTTTACAGTCTACCTTGCCAAGGTCATCATGTAAAACCAACAGAAAAGCATCAAAGTTTTTTATTTTTCTGTCATCATTTTGAGGGAGAAGTCATAGCATACCTTTTTAAACCAATAAACTAGTGCCATTGTACTTAAAAAAAAAAAAATTAACCTAAATGTAAGACCTAAACTATAAAACTCCTAGAAGAAAACATAGGGGAGAACCTTCATGACATTGGATTTGGCCAAGATTTTTCAGATATGATACCAAAAGCAGAGGCAACAAAAGCAAAAATAGGTAATGGGACTATATCAAACTTAAAAACCTCTGTACATCAAAGGGCACAATCAACAGAGTGGAAAGTCAACCTATGAAATGGGAGCAAATACTATATCCAGAATATATAAAGAACTCCTACAACTTAACAACAAAAATAACCCAATTTAAAAATAGGCAAAGGGCTTGAATAGGCCTTTCTCCAAAAATGATACACAAATGACCAATGAGCACATGATGTCCAACATCACTCATCATTAAGGAAATGCAAATCAAAACCACAATGAAATATCACCTCATACCTATTAGGATGACTACTATTTAAAAAAAGGTACAAAAAACAAGTGTTGGCAAGGATGTAGAGAAATTGGAACACTTGTACTCTGTTGATGGGAATGTAAAATGATGCAGCTACTACAGAAAACAATATGACCATTCCTCAAATAATTAAAAATAGAATTACCATATAATCCATCAATCACACTTGTGGGTATATATCTGAAAGAACTGAAAGCAGGATCTCATACAGATATTAGCACATCCCGATTCACAGCAGCAGTATTCACAATAGCCAAGAAGTAGAATCAACTCAACTGTCCACTGATGGATGAATGGAGAAACAAAATGTGGTATATACATACAATGGAATCTTATTCAGTTCTAAAAAGAAAGGAAATCCTATCATGTGCTACAACATGGGTGAACATTATATTAAGTGAAATCAGCCAGTCACAAAAAGACGAAATAAGTTGACCCACGAACAACACAGGTTTGAACTACACAGGTCCACTTACATGCAGATTTTTTATAAATACAGTACAGTACTGTAAATGTATTTCTCTTCCTTATGATTTTCTTCATAACATTTTCTTTTCCCTAGCTCACTTTATTGTAAGAATACAGTATATAATACAACATACAAGATATGTGTTAATCAACTATTTATGTTGCTTCCAATTGACAGTAGGCTACAAGTAGTTAAGTTTTTAGGGAGTCAAAAGTTATATGCAGATTTTTGTCTGCATGGGGGCTGATGCCCCAAGCCCCATGCTGTTCAAGGGTCAGTTGTAATGTATGGTTCTACTTGTATAAAGTATCTAAGTTCATCAAATTCAGAAGCAGAAAGTAGATTTTAGGGCGCCTGGGTGGCTCAGTCGTTAAGCCTTCGGCTCGGGTCATGATCCCAGGGTCCTGGGATCGAGTCCCACATCGGGCTCCCTGCTCTGCAGGAAGCCTGCTTCTCCCTCTCCCACTCCCCCGGCTTGTGTTCCTGCTCTCGCTATGTCTCTCTCTGTCAAATAAATAAATAAAATCTTTAAAAAAAAAAAGAAAGAAAGAAAGTAGATTTTATTTTTTTAATTCTTTTTCCTTTTTTTTTTTTAAAGATTTTATTTATTTATTTGTGAGAGAGAATGAGAGACAGAGACCACGAGAGGGAGGAGGGTCAGAGGGAGAAGCAGACTCCTCGCTGAGCAGGGAGCCCGATGCAGGACTCGATCCCAGGACTCCAGGATCATGACCTGAGCCGAAGGCAGTCGCTTAACCGACTGAGCCACCCAGGCGCCCCTTTTTCCTTTTTTTTTTAAAGATTTTTTTTTTATTTATTTGACAGAGAGAGAGAGACAGTGAGAGAGGGAACACAAGCAGGGGGAGTGGGGGAGGGAGAAGCAGGCTTCCCGCCAAGCAGGAAGCCCAATGTGGGACTCGATCCCAGGACCCTGGGATCATGACCTGAGCCGAAGGCAGATGCTTAACGACTGAGCCACCCAGGCGCCCCCAGAAAGTAGATTTTAATACGTACATATTTAATATATATTGTCTTTGACATAGAACCTTTTTTATTGTGGTAAAATATACATAATGTTTACCACGTTCACTATTTTTTAGTGTACAGTTAGTGGCATTAAGTACATTCACATTGTTGTGCAACCATCACCACATTATAAGCAGATACCATATAATCTTTAATGATAAAGGTGGTATTACAGAACTAAAATAATCAAATAATATTAATTACTAACTGCTGAGCATCTGGTAAAACGACAGAATAATTGAAATATTTTCAAATATTCTATATTTACTAACAACTGAAGTGCCTTTTGAACCCATTAATTACCTTTTATATATTGGCTGCTGCAGAACTCCACTCTCCAGGATCGTGGCAAGATCACAGAGAACAAGCAGAGCACTGGCTGCGTAAATTGCTCTGCACTCTAACCCAGAGCTCCAGGAAAGGGGACTTTTCCCAATCCTCAGTTCTTGGTTTCTGGGGTTTCCTTCCAAGCAGTGGCACCAGAGTAGACTAGGTGAGACAACATGGGACCAAACAGTGACTCCAAGCATGACAGCAAGGGAAGCAAGACCAGCAGGATCGAGAAGCTCTCCAAGCCTACAGTCTTATTCTTTGTATGTGATATGGTCCTCTCCCAAAATTCTCCAGATTTCACTCCAAGATGGAGCTAATTACACCCAATGTAGCTCTACCTCTCATTCCTTTTTACCTCCTTTTCTATGTGGTTTTCTCATTGCAATATTATTAATGTAAGGAACATGAAATGGGGCCTGAAGCTAGAGCCTTCTGAAGTGAATATGACCTTTAACTCCACCTGGTTGAATTCTCACCAGGTTCTTGACCACCTTCACTTATTTTTTTTTTTAAAAAAATATTTGAGAGAGCGAGAATGAGAGAGAGAGTACATGAGAGGGGGGAGGGTTAGAGGGAGAAGCAGGCTCCTCGCCAAGCAGGGAGCCCGATGCGGGACTCGATCCAGGGACTCCAGGATCATGATCTGAGCCGAAGGCAGTCGCTTAACCAACTGAGCCACCCAGGCGCCCATTGACCACCTTCACTTTTATAATCAAAAGAGTAACAATCCCACAACACTGCCTGTGTGTTCTTTCCCTGTTGTGTCTCTCTCCAACAAGTCATAGAGAAACTGTACATTTGTTCCTGAATTTACTGGCTAACTTTTTTGGTTTCCATTAGCTAACCTTGATGGCTTTCCCTCCTTTATGCAATAATTTCACCTCATAGTTCCCCTTATGAACAATATTTCCAACTTAACATAATAACCTAAGGAAAATGCTGGGCATAGAAAGAGAAATAAGGTAGGTTCCTTGCTCTGAAGGAATTCTCTGTCTAACAGCAGAGATAAACATATAAACAAGTAACTCTACTGACGTCTGAAAGGGAACTAGTAGAATGCACAGCACAGGGGAAGCCATAATAAACCAGGCGCAGGGAGCAGGAAAGGAAATCAAGGCCTGGCGGCAGGAAACAGCAACCAAGATTCGGGAAGTGCAGTAGAACAGGAATGCCAAATCAAGACACACAAGAAAACCTGTGACAAGAGTGAAGTTTGAATGAGAAGAAAGAGGCCAGACTATGAAGATTCTTTGGTGTCAGGCTAAAGCATTTCCACTTTCTACAATATGCAACAAGATCCATTAAAAGACTGCATTTTAAAAAAATTTTTGTAGAATTAGTATATAATTGTAAAAAGTTTAGGTTATGTTTCATTCCTTAGTCTTAACAGTTTATTCTGTTTTATAGTTTTTCCTTTTCTTTGTTTGGAAATCAGGGTTTAGTTAAAATACTTAAAAAGTAAAATCAAATTGGGCGCCTGGGTGGCTCAGATGGTTAAGCGTCTGCCTTCGGCTCAGGTCATGATCCCAGGGTCCTGGGATCGAGTTCTGCATCGGGCTCCCTGCTCCTTGGGAGCCTGCTTCTCCCTCTGCCTCTCTCTCTCTCTCTCTCTCTCTCTCTGTCTCTCATGAATAAATAAATAAAATCTTTAAAAAAAAAGTAAAACCAAATGAATCACAGAGTGATTGCCACACAACCACAGACAACAGGACCGTTTTGCAATGAAATCCAGCTGTTTCTTCAAAGTCCAAGATGATTCTCTTTTTTTTGTTGTTCTTACACATAATGATAAAGAAGATATATTGTAAATAGATTAGTGTAAATCTACAAGAGGATCAGAATTTGTGGAAATGGATTTGTCTTGGTTTATATAACTTTCCTACTGAGTGTTTTATTTTCTTTTGAGAAGTTGGCATGAAAACCCAGTGTTGGTGGATTTCTGTTCCATCACGTGGATATTAGTGTAAGAGGAGATGGGGATTTCCTCTGACCCTTCTTCTTTGTCTGCTTCTTAACCTCCTTCCTGTGTTCAGGCAATTAGCTGCAGTTCTTTGCTGGATGCCCCTGACCAAACTGACAGAAGGCCAACAGCCAGCATTGCCCATATCTGGAATTAATTTCGTATGTTTTGTTACTCAAGATAATCAAATTGCAGGTCTATTTCTAGATATTAATTCTTGATTGTTTTCCAGAAAATGAGGAATATTGTTGCAGAAAATAGTTGTTTTTTAAATTAATTCTGCTTGAACATAAAGAACATTTTCCCAAATAACACATCCTTTTCCTTTTACTAAAAATTGTACACATTGGACAGCTCTATAGTTTCTATAGATTTACCCTGCTTCAAAGGGATAATTAAACTGCATATCAATTTTGCATTTGAAGTTCCTCTACATTTAGGAATTTTACTTATTAAAAGAGAACTTATGGGGCATTTGGGTGGCTCAATCAGCTAAGCATCCAACACTTGATTTCCGCTTGGGTCATGATCTCAGTGTTGTGTGATTAAGCCCCATGTCAGGCTCTGTGCTGGGCGTGGAGCCTGCTTGAGATTCTCTCTCTCCCTCTGCCCCTCTCCCCATTCTTTTTCTCTCTCTCCCTCTCTCTAAAAAAAAGACCTTCTGGATACCTTTACTTTTTCAATTCCTTTCCTCATTTATATAAGTATTGCAATCAGTATTCTGCTAAGCAAAGTAAGTCAGAGAAAGACAAATATCATATGATTTCACTCATGTGGAATTTAAGAAACAAAACAAGATGAACATAGGGGAAGGGGAGAAATAAAAACAGAGGGAAGGAAACCATAAGAGACTTTATAGTTAAGAGAACAAACTGAGGCTTGCTGGAGAGGAGGAAGGTGGAGGGATGGGTATTAAGGAGGGCACTTGTTAGGATGAGCACTGGGTGTTACACTTAAGTGATAGAAATAAGAAAGCACTTGACAATTTCTGCTTAAATATCATTACCCCCACTTGTAATTTTTAGATTTGTATGAATTTTATATTAAAAAATTATGCATCTTATCCTGTTCAGAATTATAAAAACAATTAGCTCTTCCACTTAATATTGTTTCTCTTATGTATGTCTTCAGTATCTATTAGTGGAATACAGTCACTCAAATGAAATCCTAAAAAATAAACATGCCTTAATTGAAAAATATGTGTAAGGCATTTCTACTTTAAAACATATTGGTAATATTACATATCTACCAGCTTATAAGGTTATTTTTGCTTTTTTCTGAAATTAATTTAGGTGTAATACATGTTAGGGTAATTTTGAGATTAAATCATACGAATATGTTTTCTATTCTTTAGTATTATCACACATAGATAGAAATAATGTTTTATAAAATAATATTTTATAAATGTGCCAATTTCTCATTGCATTTGCTATTTCAGCTTCACCAAACCCAGAAGTCATCAAGATAAATTCAATTTCAGATATAGTAACAAAAGTGGAAGACTACTATCTTAAAGGATATATTGTTGGGGCTATTCATCCTGTTATACAACCTGTGGGGCAGCGGAAACACCTACCTGCAAGTTACCTGTACAGAGTAGTGCTGTTGCGCTTGAAATTAAGGTAAGCCTGGTGCTTAAGGAAACAGACTAGGAAGCAGTTGAGACAGTTTTCTTTGGCTAAAAGAAAAGGAAGTTTGAACATAGTGATGGGGAATAAAGGATAATTAGGGAGTTTGGTTTAGAGCACATTTTCCGGTAGTTGAACCTGGATTGAGAGAAGGAAACTTACACCCCCTTCCTTTTAAAGCTCTTCATTGATTTTAGCCCCTTGCAAACAAATGGGTCCTAGGTGAGAATGTCAGTGAACAGAGGAGAAGGAAAATAGACTCAAGAAGTACCTAGAAGCTTCAGTTGAGTAACCGTCAGCTACAGGTCCTATCACTGGACTAAAAGAGCTGACTGGACCAACAAAGTCCACTTCCACTGAGCATTTTTTTTAACTGTCCTATATTATTTTATTTATAGTGGCAACAGAAACTATCTCTCCCTTCTAAAACTTTTACAGCAAAAAGATCTACCCTCCAAGTTCTCACAAATCAGATAGACTTACCAGCTTTTTCCCAAAAAAGTAGGATGTAAAAACCATCCATTTTTTTTCTTTTTTTTTTAGTAGCTGCTTTCCCAAACAATACTGCAACTATTTTTGCCAGCCTAGCTTGTAAGTTTGATAGTTTTCAAACTACAGTTGCCCTTTCCAAAGAAGAATGAAAATAACCAAACCAATGTATTTAACACATCAGGTTTTTTTTTTACACAACTCTTGAACTATATCAAGCCATCTCAAAGACCAGGGTAAAAACTGTTTTCTCTTTTTAGTGATGGACTAATTATTGATCACTTTAACTAAGAAAGAGCTAAGCGAGGAAAGAAAAATGAAATAAGAAGAGAGAAAACAGGAAAATTGAAAAAAAAATAAAGACTTTAAAAAATTCCAGTTGTTCTTTTAAGGGACACTGCCTTGCTACTGAGTAATTGCCAACTTATAGATGTCTGAGAGGGTTTGTATGGGCCCCAGCTTTCACCATGATGTGGAACCTCATCCAGTATTTCAAGCATTACTAAATAAACATGCCATTTTATCACATGGTAGCAACACTTATGTCCTAATTACAAATCTTATAAACTATGTATAAATTATTTTTCCTCTTTTAGCATTACTTCCAGTGGACTTAGCAGTGCTCTGACAAGGCTAAGAATAACAAGGGGTAAAGATCAGAGAAGAAAAAAAGGAAAAAGACAGGATGATATTTATTTGCATTCAAATAGGACGCTTACTTGTGTTTTGTATAAAAATGAGATACAACAGTGATCTAAAATCATTTCTCACAGTTTTTAGTAAAACAACTGGTGAATTTTTTTCTTCCATATTAAATTAGAAATTAAATTAATAGAGGTTTAAACTAAGAAAATTTAAATTAATAAAAGTTACTCTGTTTTTCTGGTATTTTTACCTAAGAAGACAACCATTAGGCTCGAAAAAAAAAATTTGTCTTGACCTTATTTATGAGTTGCTCATTCATTTTTACATTGAGCATATTAGCTAAAAATAATCAACTAACTTCCAACCATGAATATATTCTCTGTTACAGCCCGAAGCATTCGGCAGTACCCAGTGGACAAAGACACCCAAGGCTTGTGATTGAGGAATATCCTCTAACTTATGAGACACAAACAAATGACATAGCAAAAGAACTGATAGAAAAGGTACTACATGTATTCATTTTTTCATGTGATATCAAGAAATATTTGGTATTTCTTCTTCATCAGTTTCCTTTCTTACTTTAAAAAGAACAGGGAAGGGGCACCTGGGTGGCTCAGTCGGGTAAGCGGCTGCCTTCGGCTCAGGTCATGATCCCAGGGTCCTGGGATTGAGCCCTGCATCAGGCTCCCTGCTCAGCAGAGAGCCTGCTTCTCCCTTTCCCTCTGCCTGTCGCTCTGCTTACTTGTGCTCTCTATCTCTCTGTCAAATAAAAAAATAAAACATATAGGGGCGCCTGGGTGGCTCAGTTGGTTAAGCCACTGCCTTCGGCTCAGGTCATGATCCTGGAGTCCCTGGATCGAGTCCCGCATCGGGCTCCCTGCTCGGCGGGGAGCCTGCTTTTCCCTCTGACCCTCCCCCCTCTCATGTGCTTTCTCTCTCTCATTCTCTCTTTCTCAAATAAATAAATAAAATCTTTAAAAAATAAATAAATAAAATAAAAATAAAATAAAACATATATTAAAAAAAAAAAAAAGAACAGGGAAATATGGTGAGTGACTTCTACCAGAGGTTAAAACATATTGAAGCACATATATCAAATTGTACAGTTAGAAATACAGGCCAATGAAACAGAATGGAAATGCCAGAAATAAATTTACACACATATGAGAAGTTTGGTAACAAACTTGATGAAATAAAATGGGGGAACAACCATCATTTAGTAAGTGCTACTGGGAAAATGGATAATTGTTCTGTAGAAAATAGACTCCACACATTTCAAATGAGATAAAGGGGTAATTTTTTTTTACCTATAAAAAATCCAGAAGAAAATGAAAGAGTATACCGAGTAGACATACTCAATTATGAATAGGTTGAGGAGTTTGAATATATTAAGTATATCTTATATTATACAGGTAACTTACAGTATTAATACCTCACCAATATTAACTGAGAAATTAAATTGAAGATATTAAATCCAGTGTTGGAAGAGCTTTAAGAAAACATTCATATATTGCAATTGGCATTGTAATGAATTAGTACAGTGTTTCTGAATAGCAGTCTGGTCATAAAAATCATAAATCCCATTTTATTTCTTTTATTAGAATCTATTCCAAGAAATTAACTGGAAAGGGAAAAACTTGGGGCACCTGGCGGCTCAGTCAGTTAAGCGTCCAACTCTTGATTTTAGCTCAGGTCATGGTCTGAGGTTCTTGGGATGGAGCCCCAAGTGGGGCTCCATGCTCAGCGGGGAGTCTACTTCTCTCCTTTTCTCTCTGACTCTCCCCCTCCCCAGTCCCCACTCATGCACGTGCACTCTGTCTCTCAAATAAATAAGTAAATCTTTTTAAGAAAAGAAAGAAAAGAGAGAAAGTCATTTTTATTCAAAGATAGTTTAATGAACAGTGATAGTTTAATGAACAGTGAGTAGGGGGCCAGATTCTCAATAATTGGAAAACTGAGGAGGAGGCAATGGTACATCGATACAATGTAACAGTTTATGGGGATTGAACATAACAACTATATTGACTGTTGGGCTAGAAAAGTCTATACAATATAACTTAATTGAAACTTAAAGGAAAAATTGAACACTATATATACATATTGATTAAAACCAAGAAAAATTGTACATTCATAAGTATTCTAAATTGATAGGATTTTAAGTGAAAGTTTGTTCTTAGTTGCATTGACATATTTGTAAGGTTTAGGTTTTATTTAAGCAAATACAGCCAAAAACCTAAGGCATTTCAAGTAAGAAATTTGTTCATTGTTTTTATTATTGTTGCTGAGCTTTAAATGGCCACGTGTATCTGTAGTTTTGTGTATAGCCAGTTATAGCTGCTAATGATATTTCCCTTTTAGGTATAAAGTCACCATTCAATAAGGTTTTCAGGAACAGTCCTTGAGACTAGATTTTTATAAACAAGTTACACATACTGTTTACTACTACTATTCTGGGAAATTTCAATTTGTTTTTCTGGGAATAAATCCACTCCAAAAAATTTCTTTTGAAACAAAAATGTAACTACTAATTTAATCTTAATAGATCACCAACAGAGCCCTTGTTTTGCATTTAACTTCCTGGACACAGTTAAAGATCTATTTAAACAGGAAAGTACTGTTATATCAGCAATTAGAGTAATGGGGTTATTTCATGAAGAGAAAACCTTCAGGAAACATAGCACATGAACTATTTGAACATTGCCCCACGTGTGAACAAGAGCAACAGATGAATGCCAAATATTATTTTGGAACAGCTGTCTTACATAAAGAGTTTATTGTTAAATAGCTAGATTTTAAGTCATTTTACCATTATATCAATATTTTCGCTATTTTTAAAATTAGGTTTATAAGTGTTTTTCCCAGGATTTTTAAATAAAAATAACATTTTTAAAATATCAATCTTCCAGGCGCCTGGGTGGCTCAGTTGGTTAAGTGACTGCCTTCAGCTCAGGTCATGATCCCAGAGTCCTGGGATGGAGTCCCACGTCGGGCTCCCTGCTCAGTGGGGAGCCTGCTTCTCCCTCTGACCCTCTCCCCTCTCATGTTGTTTCTCACTCTCTAATAAATAAATAAATAAAATCTTAAAAAAATTTAAAATATCAATCTTCCAACTCAATAAAAATGGAAAAAATGTTAATACTCTATTTGTTACTTTTCCAGATGAAACTTTCTAGTAATAGAAAATAGAAAAGGCCTTCTGCACTTTTTCACCCAAATCAACTAAGAAGGCCTAGAGAAAGAACTGACAATAAATTTACCCATTCCCACCTGCAGAATACCATGCCTCCTTACCACTTCTTTCTCCTCTCCCAGGACATTTGATACAAAGGACAATTTATGGTTACTTTTAAGGCTTCATGCATTATTACAACCTCAGTATGTTCATTTATAGGAGTCAATGATATTGTGTCAGTGTCATCCTCTATCCTAGCTCCACACGCCTACACCTCCGTTGTGCTCGGAATTCTCCTCATTGGCTGGAGCTGAGTGACCATTGTGGGCATTGCTGTCTGTTTTTTGTTTTTGTTTTTGTTTTTAAGATTTTATTTATTTATTTGAGAGAGAGAGTGAGAGAGAGAAAGAGCACAAGAGGGGGGAGCGGGAGAGGGAGAAGCAGACTCCCCAATGAGCAGGGAGCCCGACGCGGGACTCGATCCTGGGACTCCAGGATCATGACCCGAGCCGAAGGCAGTCGCTTAACCAACTGAGCCACCCAGGCGCCCTGCTGTCTGGTTTTGCCCCAAATGTTCCTGGCCTTTTTCATTTATTTCATTTCTGACCATAGGTGTTTGCATTTACAACTGCCACCATAAGTCTTTTTCCCCTCCCAAGTAACATTTAAAACATTTAATTTAGGGTTGCCTGGGTGACTCAGTAGGTTAAGCCTCTGACTCTTGGTTTTGGCTCAGGTCGTAATCTCAGGGTCATGAGATCAAGCCCCACATTGGGCTCCTCGCTCAGCAAGGAGTCTGCTTGATGATTCTCTCTCCCTCTCCCTCTGCCCCTCACCCCACTTGCACACTCTCTTTCTCTCTATCAGAGAACTAAGTCTTTAAAAAAATCATTCAATTTAAATGTTTAAAACAGTGACCAAATAAAAGATGTTGCTATTTCTTTATTTTTACTTATTTAACAAGTATTTATAGAGCACCCACAGGTACAAAACAGCACAGTACAAAAATGATTAAGACACAGTCCTAGTCCTCAAAAGAATTGCCAGTTTAACAGAGGAGAAAAACATGGATACAAAAAGAACAAAGAAATGAAGCAAAAGCAGAGAAAGGGAAAGGTGCCCAGCATGAAAATCACCACTCTCAAGGTCTCAAATTATTTCACTGGCATTATATTACGTGCTTCTGAATCCTATTCTTTAACTTATATGATTGAATCTAATCATGAGCGTTTGGCCCGACAGGAGACAAGAGCATCAAGATATAAGCATATGTGGGGGCGCCTGGGTGGCTCAGATGGTTAAGCGTCTGCCTTCAGCTCGGGTCATGATCCCGGGGTCCTGGGATCGAGTCCCGCATCGGGCTCTCTGCTCCTTGCCTCTCTCTCTCTCTCTCTGTCTCTCATGAATAAATAAATAAAATCTTTAAAAAAAAAAAAAAAAAGATATAAGCATATGTGAAAGCTTCCTGAGAGTGAATCAGGCCTATGCATTATACATACACATTTGTCAAGAGTTAGACTTGTGACATTTTTCTTTATCCACATCAAGCAAACAATGCTGTATGTTTTTGCTTTTAAATTAATGTTTCTTCTTTATTAATTAAGATTGTGTTATTTTTGAGGATTTCTTGGAATAGTTTTTAATTTTGCCCCAATGGGAGAGACCACTGTTAACAAGTCTGCAAAAATCATGTTATAGAATTATTAGTTCTTCCCAAATAGTAACCTTTTGAAGAAAAACATGATTCCTGTTCTCCTAATTTCTAAAGTGTATCAGTTCTGTTTGAAGAAGTCACAATAATAGTGTGACATAGTCTTTTTTTTTTAATGAAATCTTTTTTTTTTAAGATTTTTATTTATTTATTTGAGAGAGAGAATGAGAGAGAGAGAGAGCTTGAGAGGGGGAGGGTCAGAGGGAGAAGCAGGCTCCTCGCTGAGCAGGGAGCCCGATACGGGACTCGATCCAGGGACTCCAGGATCATGACCTGAGCCGAAGGCAGTCGCTTAACCAACTGAGCCACCCAGGCGCCCCAATAGTGTGACATAGTCTTAGGAGTAGTGCTTTATGAGAGGTTATTACTTTGTGTATGAATGGGTCTTTAGTTAGTGGTCAATTTACTTCTTGTGGATTTCCTTAATAAGCCTATAGGTTAATTGATAAAGTAATCAATGTAAATAAATTTTACATTTTGTTCTACAATCTCTTTTCAGATTAATATAGCTGCTAAGAGAGGAATGAAATTTGTTGGATTCATATCACAACCTTATCCACCACTTAAATTCTGCAATGGAAGCAATCACGATGGAGATACAGAATCAACACTGCCTGTGAGACACACTTCGGAGGAAAACTGTAAAAGTTGGAATGAAGGAACATTAAGTGGGCAATCGTCTGAGAGTGGAATTGAGGAAGAACTTCATCATGAAAGTGGACAGTGTCAGATGGACCGAGATGGCAGCCCCAGTTACTCTAAATCCAGAAAGGGAGAAGGTAATAGACAAGATAAGTAGAAAGAGTATATTAGTTTAAATTTAGCAAAAATAAGTTTTTGATTTTTTTAGAAACATGAGGCAAAGTAAATTTCCAAAGATTATCAAGGCTGAATAAACTAATATAAACTTGTCTTGATTTTTTTTGAAATTACTGTAGCCAAAAATAAGGTAGGGCAGTTTTTCAAACAGTTGTCCCTGGCATGGTCATACAATGCCATCCACATAAGGAAATTTTGTTTTGAAAATTTGTTCCCATTTAGTCATTCACCAACTCCCCTATAAAATGGAGGCTGTGTGTGTATACAGAAAGTGATTCTATAAATATAGAAAGCTGTTCTATGTTTTTTTTAAAAACAGTGTGTGGGAATTTTAGTTTTGGCCTTTCCCACTTCATGGATGGTTTTCGCCTTTGAAGTTAACTGGCTTCTTTTGATCATCAATTAGAATATGAAAATGCACATCATGATGAAACAATTAATATAACAATACTGCCTGCATCCTAAAATAACTTTAAACATTAGTTTTATTCTACTTTGCCAACTGGCAACTCCTCCCAAGAAACTGAGACTACTTTTTCATGTATTTTGGCCTGCTCAGAATTTTCTGCTACCTTTGCAGGCATGCTTTAAAAAGCACTACTAGAGAAAGTCAAAGATGAGGCATACCTTAGAATTAAGAGTTCTGGCGTCAGACTACCTCAATTTCTTCACAGAAAGGGGGTTGTTGTGAGAAGTAGTAGTAGACACACTCTGGTGTAACACACTGCACACACGTACATTGGCCTTCTAGGTTGTAGTGAAATATGCTCAGCATTCTGAGGATGGCAGAGACCCACTCAACCATGGTCAGCACAGTCTTTTTAAGAACAAACCAGAAGCATTTTCTAATTCATCATCTTACCCCTCCTCACCACCACCACCATCCCATTTTTTCACCAGCTCCCTAGCTAACAACCATCCTGATTTTCCTGCAGTGTAAACATTTTAGAAACAAAAGAGTTGTTGGAGCTATGGTCAGAGACCTATTTGCTATCTTCCACGCAATGTTACCTTTAAATTCCTGCCGGTTCCCCTCTTAACTTTGATTAGATCAGGTGTTTACTTCCAGTCCTTTTAAGTTCTAAATCCAATATGCTACTTAACTTAATTATCAATCTTTAGATTCTACTTTTTTTTTTAATTATTTTTTAAATTTTTTAGAAGGCAGGTGGAGGAGCAAAGAGAGAATCTTAAGCAGGCTCCACTCCCAGCGCAGAGCCCAACCCAGGGCTTGATCTCACAATCCTGAGATCATGACCTGAGCTGAAATCAAGAGTCAGACGCTTAATTGACTGAACCACCCAGGCGACCCTAGACTCCACTTTCTTAAATCATATACTTCTTAATAATAAACTTCTTAATAATATAAATCATATACTTCTTAATAATCATATACTTCTTAATAATAATAATAATCATATACTTCTTAATAATAATAATAAGACTCCACTTCCTTAAATCATATACTTCTTAATAATAAACTTCTTAATATAAATCATATACTTCTTAAAAATTTCTCTATGGCAATAGTTCTTAATTTTGTGTGCAGGTGTGGGATGGTGGCAGCATGAGGCTGGGGGGAGACACACACAAAAGACCCCTTGGAGAATCTGGTGAAATCCATGGAGACTCAATCCAGAAAAATGCACATAGGGGCATCTGAGTGGCTCAGTTCATTGGGCAGCTGACTCTTGTTTTTGGCTCAGGTCATGATCTCAGGGTCATGAGATCGAGCCCTGCATCTGGCTCCACATTCCGTGTGGAGTCTGCTAGAGATTCTCTCTCTCTCCTTCTCCCTCTGCCCCTCCCCCGACTCGAGCACTCTCTAAATAAATAAATAAATAAATAAATAAATAAATAAATAAATAAATAAATAAATAAATAAATAAAATCTTTCTTTAAAATGCACATAACATACATACCCCCAAGTACTTGCGCAATACAAGTGGTGTTAGACTTCCTAAACATAACCATATAGGTGGGTCCATAGACTACTCCCCAAGTTAAGAATTTGCCAACTTATGGAAAACCAGTAGATATGACCCCTCAGTTCCATGTCTAAATATGTATTCTAGAGTCACTCCCAAATATGAGACATGAATAATGCTTACAATAACAAAATTTTGGAAACAATGTATCAACAGGAGAATAATAAACTGGAATATTATGTAGCAGTTTAACTAAATGAATAAGGTCTATATGTATTAATTCAACTTCAAGCATAAAAACAAATCAATTTGTAGGGGCGGCTGGGTGGCTCAGTCAATTAAGCATCCACCTTTGGCTCAGGTCATGATCTCGGGCTCCTGGGATCGAGGCCACCCTCCCCCCTCCCCCAGCCCCAGGTCAGGCTCCCTGCTTAGCAGGGAGTCTGCTTCTCCTTCTCCCTCTGCTCCTCCCCCCCACCACTTTGCTCTCTCTCTCTCTTAAATAAATAAAATCTTTTTAAAAAATCAATTTATAAATGCATATATACAATATCATACTTCTTTAAAAGTTTTTTAAACTGCAAAACATAATATATATTAATGGGTATATAAATGTGCATTAGGGCGCCTGGGTGGCTCAGTTGGTTAAGCGACTGCCTTCGGCTCAGGTCATGATCCTGGAGTTTCGGGATCGAGTCCCGCATCGGGCTCCCTGCTCGGCGGGGAGTCTGCTTCTCCCTCTGACCCTCCTCCCTCTCATGCTCTCTGTCTCTCATTCTCTCTCTCTCAAATAAATAAATAAAATCTTAAAAAATAAATAAATAAATAAATAATAAATAAATAAATAAATAAATGTGCATTAAAAGAGTAAAAGCTAGAATGAGAATAATAAACACCAAATCATTATAGTAGCTATTTCTGGAGAACTGGATTAGGGAAGACTACAAAGTGAGTCTCAACTACATCCATTTCTCATTTCCTGGAAAAAAGTCTAAAGGAAACAAGGCACAAGGTTAACATTTAATAAAGCTGAGTGGTAGGTAATTTTATTATTCTCTATGCTTGTCTGTTTGCTTGAAATACATGAGTAATAAAAAAAAATTTTAGGAATCTTTTCAACAAATGAATAAATAAATACTTTTTCTTCTTTCTGAACACCTATTCCCAGATAACAAGTTGTATACAGTATTCAATGTTTTTGATGATGAATCAACCTGTTGGACCTATCAGGAAGGCATCCTGTCAATGAAAGTAACAAGAAAAGGATCTGTCATTAGTACACTTGATGCTGATTGGCTGGAGTTAACTACATTTTATTATAAACAAGGCTTGTCTTTAATTGATTCTTTTGTATGCTGGGAAACATCTAAAGGTAAGTTTTATATTATGATATATTGATAACTAAAGAATTTGACCTGTGTCAGAGTTGGTACAAATGTTTTTGCCTCTCAAAATCAGTGGCTAAAAGGACAGGTATTATTCACTAGGAATTAGATTCCAATTATTACACAGCTATGTAGCTTTAATTTAAAAGCTTAACTATCTTGCTTTCCTGCTGCCACTGCTTTTAGCAACCTTGAAAGGAAAGAAAATAAACAGATGACAGAATTTCCACTAGACCCAACTAGCACTAAGGAAAAACTTCTTCCCTCTGAGCCACATGTCCTGATGACCCAGATTTTGGACAGTGTGTCACATCTGGTCTGGACCAGTGATTAAGAAGCCTAGTCACATTCCAGTTTGTATGGCATGGGTTGGCATGCTCATAGATGAGAACATCAAGGTATAAGCAGCAAGGCCTTTCCATATCTATGTGAAACAAAGGCCTTCAAGCTTAGCCTCCTTGAAGATATGACCTATGATCTGTCTTCCAGCCAAACACAGGCTTGTGAGGGGGGCTCTGAGAACACTAAGTAACTGGAGGATCCAATGCCCTCTGATCCCTCATGCCTTTCCTATGTTCTTTTTTGTGGAAGGTAACTTGACAGTAAGCTGAGGGGAACATCCCCAAGCCCTGTCTTCCCATCACTGCAGCTGCATGCTCCTCCCCATGGCTCAGCCTTCACTCCTGAAGGAGCTGATGCTCCAGAGGCTCCCAGTGGGAATTCCCACTATGAATCATAATAAAGAGATTGTGATGATAGATGATAGATAGATAGATGATAGATAGATAGATAGATAGATAGATAGATAGATAGATAGATAGACAGATGATAGATAATAGATAGATAGATAGATAGATAGATAGATAGATAGATAGATAGATAGATGATAGATAGAGATAATAGATGCAAGCTTAACCATCATGCGTGGTAGAATTATAATGTAATGTTTGCTGCTGGGTTGTAACTGTCAGGAATAGACAAAACACTGTATGATTGACTAGGATTTTCCAAATAAGATGTATTATAACAGCCCAGTTAGAAGGATTATAATTGCATTTGACAGTTACTGTCCAAACTTATACACTATCCCAATTTTGGTCACTATCTACCATGTACTCCAGTCTATATCTGACTCTAAAATTTGTATAGAAAAATAATCTTTGGTTCAAAAATGATATGGACTCTATTTATTTCTGCCTCCTTTTATCTTTCAACTTCCCCTAGCCTTCCTCTTTTAGTTACAATAGAATATGTAATCATTCATGTCTATCACAAAAACAAACAAAACTTGCCAAAAATTACTTTCTAGGGAAAGTGTTTTTAAAAACAGATTAGTGCTAAAAGAGAAGAAAAATTCATAGTTAGGAGACTTGAAAAATAAATTAAGAAGGATGAAGTCTATGAAAAACAGGATAATTAATTACCTCAGTGAGGTTAGATGAAAGAACAAAAAAGCAAATAAGATCTCAATATACCTTATTATCCTTAAATCAGACTATCATTCAGTATGGAGTTTCCTCAAAAAGTTAAAAATAGGGGCCCCTGGGTGGCTCAGCCATTAAGCGTCTGCCTTCGGCTCAGGTCATGATCCCAGGGTTCTGGGATCGAGCCCCGCATCCGGCTCCTTGCTCGGCAGGAAGCCTGCTTCTCCCTCTCCCACTCCCCCTGCTTGTGTTCCCTCTCTCACTGTCTCTCTGTCAAATAAATAAAATCTTAAAAAAAAAAAAAAAAGAAGAGAGGTAAAAATAGCACTACCCTACGATCCAGCAATTGTACTAGTAGGTATTTCCCAATGGATACAAAAATACTGTTTGAAGGGACACATGCACCCCGATGTTTATAGCAGCATTATCAACAATAGCCAAATTAGAGAAAGAGCCCAAATGTCTATCAACTGATGAATGGATAAAGATGTGGTATATATACACAATGAAATATTACTCAGCCATCAAAAAGAATGAAATCTTGCCTTTTGCAACAATGTTAGATGGAGCTAGAGTGTATTATGCTAAGCAAAATAAGTCAGAGAAAGACAAATGCCATATGATTTCACTCATACATGGAATTTAAGAAACAAAACAAATGAACATAGGGTAAGGAGTAAAAAAGAGAGGGGGGAGGCAAATCATAAGAGACTTTTTTTTAAAGATTTTATCTGTTTATCTGAGAAAGAAAGAGAGCATGAGTGGGGGTGGGGGGATGCTGAGAGAGAGGGAGAAGCCACTCCCCACTGAGCAGGGAGCCTGATGCAGGCTCAGTCCCAGGGCCCTGAGATCATGACCTGAACCGAAGGCAGACTCTTAATGACTGAGCCATCCAGATGCCCCATGAGACTCTCAAGTAGAGAACAAACTGAGGGTTGCTGGCGGAGAGGTGGTCAGGGGATGGTCTAAATGGGTGATGGGTATTAAGGAGGGCACTTGTTATGATGAACACTGGGTGTTATATATAAGTGACAAATCATGAAATTTTACTCCTGAAATCAATATTATACTACATGTTTAACTAACTAGAATTTAAATAAAAACTTTTAAAAAAGAAAAAAAAGAAAATCAGCCTATCATTAAATCAGGGATACCTTAACTAATAGAACTAAAGACTTTGGGTAATTATTTAAAATTATCAAGAATCATGGTCCAATAGGTTCTTTTAACTAGAAACCAAGAGTAAGGATCTAGCCCATTGGAACACCCAGAAATATGGCCCATAACACACAGCCCATAGCAGGTGCGTGACAGATATTCCTTAGTATTTTTGGTTATTAGAAACTTCTCCCAAGTCGGTCTTTTATGGAAACAGCAAAATCTAATAAGAAGAGCATGGACTTTAGGATCAGATAGACCAGGGTTTAAATTCCATGTCCTCTGCTTATTAGCTGGGTGATCTGGAGAAGTTAGGGAGCTTACTGAGCCACATTTTCCTAAAAGGCGAATAAAAATATTCCCTACTTTACTGCTGTGAAAATTTAATAAACTATAGTATGTACAAAATGACTCCACAGTGCCTCGCCCACTGCCAGAGCTTATTTTCTGCTGTTAGTTTTCTTTCCTGTGGCTTACTGTGCAGTTACAGTACTTTTCATATGGATCACCTACTTAGAGATCAGTTTATGCTTCATGTATTTCTCTTTCTCTCTTCTTTTTCTCCTTCTCTTCCTTCCAAAAAGTCTAAGTTGAAAAAAAAAAAAAGTTTAAGTTGGAGCCATTTCAAATTTTGGTTTGTGACCAACTGCTGAAAGAAAAACGAAAAATACTCCTTTCAAAATCCATTTCAGGCATCCCTGCCTTGGGCTTTGCCTGGTGAAAATAAAATTAGCCCCAGCAGTTGCCAGCTAGAGGCTCTGTAGGGCTTTTGTTCCCAAAGCCTCAGAAGCTATTTAGAGAGCCCAGGGGAGAATCTCTTCCTCTCAGCAGCTCTGGAATGTCTCATTAGACATTTTACATTCCAGGCCATGCCAAGGCCCTAACGAGCCACCACGGTCTGTGGGGTCTGGCAACTGGGTGTGTCACTCTGGACTTCCCTACGAGTACACAGGGAAGCTGCAGAGGGGAAATTGTGACCCATGCCTCTGTCACTGTGAGAAGCAAGTCAGAGGAAGCAGGGCTGAATTGGTTGCTTTGTTCTGGGACAGTTGATGCCTGACAACTAAAGCACATGGGGGACAATGTGTATTTTGTCTTGCTTCCATCCTCTTCCAGAATGTTGTCAGAAGTCAGCCTATCATGAAGAATAGAAGTACAAAACCAGACATTGCACAGACATTTAAATACATTACTCCATAAATCTCATTTTATAAAATATCTTCCTCTAGAAAGAGAGAGAGGAAGAACAAAACTTTTAAAAAGTTTTCTCCTTTGGTGGAGTCATAGTGGAGAGGTTGTGAGATTGTGAATTCTTCTTCAGTGCCCTTTCCCACGCACTCTCCAAGCCTTTCCTGCTTCAAAAAGCCCCAAAGGAGAGGCACCCAGTGGCCATCTTGCTGTTCTTGCAGCCTGAGGGTTCACACTGCAATGGCCTCCTGCATTTGACCTTCTCCTGCATTGCTGGGCCCTCACCCTCAACAGGCTTCCCCAGTTGAGCCAACAAAGACAAAACCCTTTATTTTACCAGAATGTGTAGAGATCCAGTGGGCCGTTGGCATGGGCTGAGATGAGCAGCTTTGCCAGCTGGTATAAAACACACACACACACACACCACCCATGAGGTCCCATACTTTACTAGCCTATAAATGCCCCCATCGATGTCAGAGAATAGTCTCTTCCCACGTTTAGTACACCCACATCTTAAGGCTACATACATACATACCGTTTTTTATGAATTTTTAGACTTAAATTCATTTCGATCTCTTCGCCCCTATAAAAATGCTTGTGTGGAGGTAGCAGGCAAGCTGTATCAGAATGAGGAATAGGGTAGAGTACTGACAAAGAAACATGTATTAATTCACTTCACGTATATGTATATGCCAGGCCCTATGCCAGGCACTGGGTTTACAATGATGAGCAAAATGGACATATTCCCTACTCTCAAAAAGCTGGACTTGTGGCATAAGGCAGTCAGGCAGCAATGGGTATGGAAACATACATGACTAATTTCAAAATTGAGAGAAGTGTTGTGACATTACCCAACATGACATTGTAAGGAGACATCCAGAGGTCCCGCCTGATGAGGCACCAATCACACTGAGACTGGAAAGCCAGCATTCGAGAGCCAGAGGTAGACCATTCTAGGCAGAAGAAACACCCCCCAGATGTTCAAAAACCCTAGGGCAGGAAAGAGGATCAGGGAAAAGGTCTGTGTCTCTGGAGCAGGGTATGAAGAGAGAATGGCTCCAGACAAGGTAGAAGAGGTAAGAGTTTATATATGTGCTCTCCAGTTCTCAGAGATGGTCCCAGGCCCATCTCTAGGCAGTTTAATGCCAAAAATGACACGTGGACCAAAAATACTAAAATGGAATGTTACCTTTCCTCACATTTACAGAAATGTCAATGTCATATGTAGCTGAAATGAATGTGTCAGAGCACATGTCCTTTAAGCTTGTGCTTCTCAAACCAGAATCCAAGTACTCTGGGGGTATGCAGCCATGTGCTCAGGAGTACAAAGGTTCACAGAATAAACCTCTTCCTAGAATGTCAATATTATTTAAGATGGGGAGATGGAGAACTGTACTTTTTTACATAATAGGAATATAGTTGAAAATGCGGGGCGCCTGGGTGGCTCAGTTGGTTAAGCGACTGCCTTCGGCTCAGGTCATGATCCTGGAGTCCCGGGATCGAGTCCCGCATCGGGCTCCCTGCTCGGCAGGGAGTCTGCTTCTCCCTCTGACCCTCCTCCCTCTCATGCTGTCTCTCATTCTCTCTGTCTCAAATAAATAAATAAAATCTTTAAAAAAAAAATAAAAAAAAAAAAAAAAAAAAAAGAAAATGCAAGGTTTGCATGGATTTTAAGATACAACATTAGACTTTAAAGAAACCTTATTCTTGCTACAAATCACTTCACACTGTACTTGGAGACCATCCTTCAAGGATACAGGTATACTACCCTTTGCTATTGGTGGTATTTGGCTTAAAAAAAAAAAATTAAGAGGCAGTGCATCATCAGGTCAATGCCTTGTAACTTTTTCACATTATGCACACATAGAAAAGCATACAGGTATAAGAGGATAAAGCTTTTCTGAGCAGGAGGGGGCACCCTATTCTTGGCACTTCTATAACAGGTTCTCAGCATACCAGTGGGCCAAGGCATACTGGGTGGGAAGTTCTGGGATGTGTAATGTTAAGAAGTGACTCTGTTCAGGAACAGTTATTAAGTAATTGTTCAGAATTATCACCTCACCACATTACCTGAAAGATTTAACACACCAAGCACCCAGTCACTCTCCATGAGACCTTCCCTGCCACCCTGACTTGCCACCACTTCTGTTAGGGAGAATTTTTCAGGAGATATAAGTACTTTCTCCGTGTAAGTATCCTTCATCAGTGGCTCTGGGGATTGGCATGGGCCCCAAGAAGGTCAGCGAGAGCTCTAGGAGCTCTGAAGTGAGAAGGAGGGACCTAAGTATAATATCCATATAGTAAAGTACATTAATCTTATGTGTACAGCTGAATAGAACACAAATGTTCAGGATATGAAACATCTCTTTATATGTCAGTTATATCTCAATAAAGCTGGGAGGGAGGAATGTAGAGGGGGAAAAAATGGTACAGAACATTTCCATCATCCCAGAAAACCACTTCATCCCCTTTTCAGTCAATATCCTCCCACCCAGAGTAAGCATTATTCTGACATCCACCACCATAGATTAGTTTTGCCTGTTCTCGAACTTCACATAGGTTGAAGTATACAGTATGTACTCTTTTGTGTCTGGCCTCTTTTGCCCAACATAGTATCTGAAATTCATCCATGTTGCTACACAGCAGTGAGTCTTGCTTGTTTATTCTTGTGTAGTATTGCATTGTATGAATCTATACCACACTCTCATTCTTTTAAACCAAAAGAAATTTAGAAGTACTAGGGTACCCCAATACTAAAAACAAGAAAACAGGCACAGAGCCACAAAAACCGATGGTTCTCACATTATATAATCCCCAAGTAAATAAGAGGCAGATTATAATTACATAATTATCACAGCATATTATTATTTCTAAAATTCATACCCCCCCCATGCTAAAAAAGGACTTGGGGCATACATAGTTTTATAGATGGTCTTCTGATGCTCTAAACTTACAATCAGAAAGGTTTACTTCCACTGGTCACTTGCGTGTGACAGTGGACAAGTACATTTAAAGGAAATGGAACATATACAAATACTGTAATTCCAACTAGTAAATTAAACTTTACTGGGTTTTTGGGAACCAGTCTGAACAATGTAAATTCTTCATGATGACCTGCCCTAACTGTAAATGATGTAAATAATAATAATAAGGATTTTCTCTTAAAGTTTATAGCCTGTTAATAAAAATCAGAACTAAAAATTACATTGAAATTATGTTTGTCTTCTTTATCTTTAAACTTAAGAGATCACTTGAAAACTTTGTAGGTTATAATTTAGATCACTGTCCACCAGGGAGACTTTGATGTGACATTGTACAGTATAAAAAAATAAAATGTTTAACCGGCACATGACCATGGGAAAATTGTCTCCTATTGCAAAATAAGAGACAAAAGAATGTCCATAAAATCAGTTTAGTTTTCACCAGCTGGTTATTGTCAGCTATTCAAGAAAATGTCAGAGAGGCCCTCCCTTAAAACTTCCTTCCCAGCAGGAATTCTTTTGACAATGACTTCTGTTTAGGATTTTCCTGTTACCATTCTTTTATTATTTTTTTAAAGCATCATGGAGGTAAAGAATTGTTTTGTGTTTATAGTTTTTGAAGTGGTCTTACCTTACCTTAGTTTTAATACCACACCTGTAATTTCAAGGATTAACATTTTTTATGTTTTCTCTCTTAATGGTGTAATTAATATGCATAAACATACAGATTGGAAACCAAAATTTGATTTCAAGGTGAAGGTCATTTCCCGATGCTTTTTAGGCTTAGGAAATCCACTTGCTTCTCATTGTACAATATTATTTTATCTTGGTTTTGTTATTGTAGTTTTCATATTTACAGTGTGATTTTAATTCAGTGAAGTGCAAACCTGTCTTGAGCTTTCCCAAAAAAATTATAATAATAATAACCTTCAATGAGAAGGAGGAGGTTGTTGTTGATTCAGCCAAAACAAGTGCCTATTAATTTATATGCTTTTCAGCTTACTAAAAGGGTTATCTAAGGATTTAAATGAACTTAAGAAACACTCAGTATTTGCAACTCTTCTTGATTGTATCCTTTTCCTCATAGGCGACATTTTGCCTAAATCTTTGGAAGGATTCTTTATCTACGAAGAAGAAGGCTCTGGCGTTCCAGGTTCCATTAGGAAAGGAAATGATGCCATCGTAGTAGAACAATGGACCGTTATTGAGGTAAGCCACAATTTTCTGACAATTTAGCTTAAATTTTATATTTAGTTTTACATGACAAAGATCTTCATTGCCTAATACATACAGTATCCTTCAAACACGTGTCTGTGCAGGGTTCAGAATTTCATCACAAATGCATAAACAAACTTTGTTCAGATTTGTGAAAAGTTGATTTCCTTTACTCAATGTTCAACGTCATTATAAGATAGCAAAATAATTACCTATATCTAGATAGCAGTAGACTCCCAAAGAGTTGACATTCTAATCCTAAGTAAAGTTCCCTGGCCCTGAGATTCTCTTTACACATGCCATGACAACTGGCTGAAACTGAGAAAAACTCAGTCAACAACTACCATTTTATCTCCAAGCAACCAATGTGACTGACTTTGTTCTTACCTTGTGAATTGACTTTCAAAGGCAAAAATATCCAAAAGGTGTTCTCTCTCTCGCCAGGCCAGATAATGTGCACACAGCCTTGTCCTTCCTAATCAGAGATGACATGGCTGATGCTGTCGTACCCTCTGAATTCAGATGTGCTGTGTGTGTGAGGCCCTTACAACAGGCTCTCTCCGGGACACCGTTGCCTTTCTGGCCTGATAAGGGCAGAGAGAGAGGCATAGCTCATTTTCAAAGAAACTCGAAATCCCACTGAGGGGGAGGAAAGGATTTGGGGATAGAGGTAAAACTCCAAGTAAAAATCAATTCCAAGTGAGTAAAAAGCAGGGAGGTGACTCGGCATCTAAGCCCTACTTACCTTTCACTCCCCCACTTTCACTTCCAACTCTTGTCCTCACTTCCCAGTCCCTTGACCAGTGTTTCTAAAACTGTGGTCTATAAACTATTTGGATCCAAATCACAAGGAGCTTTTTTAAAGGCAGATTCCCGAGCCCCCCACCTTAAAGTCTGATGCCTGAACAAGGCCAAGGGAACAAGACAGAAGGGAGGTCCAAACTCTGGAGAACCATATGGAAACCTCTCTCCACTCTGATCCCCAGTGTTCCTACCTTGGTTCAATGGTTAGAAGGCAGCAGGTAGCAGAAAATAAAGCCCAGGAAGAGTGCAGCTGGTGAAATTGTATTTCATGGAGTGTGAACTCCCTTTACTGTCACAGCCATTACCCGTTATTGTAATCACCCGTGTAGCTGGTGGTCTTTGCCCTTAGGAATGTGAGCTCTGGGACGCCTGGGTGGCTCAGTCAGTTAAGCATCTGCCTTCGGCTCAGATCATGATCCCAGGGTCCTGGGATCGAGCCCCGCATCGGGCTCCCTGCTCAGCGGGGAGCCTGCTTCTCCCTCTGCCTCTGCCTCTCTCTCTCATGAATAAATAAATAAAATCTTTTAAAAAAAAAAAGGAATATGAGCGCTTATGCTTATTCACGCAGGGCTGGGAGATCAAAACGGACTACGGCCCTCTGCTGCACACTCTGGCTGAGTTTGGATGGCTCCTGACAAGCGTGTTACCTACGCCTATAGTACGACATGACAGGTAAGGCCAAAGGATCCTCACAAACGCGCCTCTAATCCTAAAACATAGCTTGTTTGTTGGATAACTCGGTTCAACAAATCCTTATTTAACGTCTACAAAAAGCATTTCACTGAACTTCTAATCTGATTTCATGGACCTGGGAGATCAGCTCATCTAATCCCCTCAAGTTACAGATGGACAAGCTACAACATCTCCTTCCCAGGGGGCCATGCTCACGTTCACAGGGCAGAGCCAGGCAGGGGCGTGGAGACTGGCTCCCAGCTCAGGGTCCCTCAAGATACCAGTTGGTCCTAGAGTGAAGATTGAGGAGAGGTCAATCAGCAAACAGAACAACTCAGCCCCCTCTGTAGACCCTTTGTCCTCCTCTTCAGCACTGCCTGTGCAAAACCACCCTCACCAGAGTGCACAGCCAGGGTCAGGACGCAGTGCAGGCCAGCGAGGCCTGGATGCGGAAGCACAGGCTGCGGTCTCTGCTCCTCCCCTCCAGGAAGGTGGCTGACTGCCCCCCACCCAGCACAGACCTGTTCGCTGTTTCCACTCAAATGAAGTGCACACATTAGAACCAAAATGCCGTTACTTCACCAATACCAACCTTTCCTTTTCTCCTTTTGCTGACCTTCCCTATTTCCTTTCCTGGGAAGGAAAAAGTGAATCACACCTTTTTTTTTTTTTTTTTTTTAAGAGAGAGAAAGAGAGAAACCAATTAAGTCTTCTGTATAAAGTGCTTTGCTATTCCCTGGACTCAGCGATGTTCCCTCTATCTTCTTGGCTTCCAGAAAATGCCTGAGTGCCAATGAGGTTCTGCCTGGGCCACAGCTGCCTGCAGAGGACAGCACAGTCCCAGTGGCCTTCCCCTTCCACAGCCTCAATGACCGACCAGTTAACACTGAGTAATTGTCAGGTGCAGCTCGAGGTGGCAACTCCTCCTTTCTCAGTCTTACCCACCCTCCCGCCTTCTCTGGTTTTTCCAGCTTAGCAATTTACCCCTGTCCAGTATCCCAACTTCCCCAAAATTTTAAAACATTAGATTGGCATGGCTTTATAATAAAACCACATATTCTTCAGGGAGAGGGACAAAGGTTGATACAGAGTAAAGATACTCAAGCTTTAAACGGAGGGGTTAGAAGTAAGCAATTAAGCTGCTTCTCAAAGATCTATTGGTAACTGTTCTCAAATTATGAGTGACAACTCCCTGAAGCGTTATTTCCCAACGTTTTAAATCTGTGACATTCCTGTCAGGTCACAGTACAGCAGTAATTCTCAAGATTCGGTCTTCATACCAAGCAGTATGAATCACCTGGGGAGCCTATGCACATACAAGGGCTGGAGGCCCACCTCAATGGAACAGTCAGAAGCTTTTGAGGGTGAGACCCATGAATCTGCATTTTCACAAGCCCCTGAAGCTCCTTAACATTAGAGGAATTTTGCAGAAGGTAGTGAGAAAGGAACTCCTCATCCCTGCCTTTCTACCCCTCACAGTCATGCCCAAGCATTGGTCTAGTCCACTCCCCACCCCTCTCAGAATAATTTGTGTACGGGGCACCTGGGTGGCTCAGTCGGTTGAGCCACTGCCTTCGGCTCAGGTCATGATCCTGGAGTCGCTGGATCGAGTCCCACATCGGGCTCCTGCTCAGTGGGGAGTCTGCTTCTCCCTCTGACCCTCCCTCCTCTCATGTACTCCCTCTCTCTCATTCTCCCTCTCTCAAATTAAAAAAAAAAAAGAATAATTTGTGTACGTGGCCTTCTCATCTCTTTTTGATGGTTCTCATAGGTGTATGATTTAGGGGGTCATCTAGCTCATTACAGTTAGCTCTTCCTAAAAGTACTCTAAATTTTGAACCTTTCATGTTCCTTTTTCCCCAGTGAAAAATATATTTATCACCTCCCTCCCATTCACTCAGGGATTCTGCTCTAAGAGTCTACATTTTTCTGGGGACACCTGGCTGGCTCAGTCGGTAGAGCATGTGACTCTTGATCTCAGGGTCCTGAGTACAAGCCCCATGTTGAGGGTGGAGGCTACTTAAAAATAAAATTTTAAAAAATATTTTCTTAAGATGGTATGAATGACTGATTGGGCACTGATTAGGTCTAGCCTACCAGGTGGGAAAAAAGAGGTCTCAAGTATAATGTGAAGGGAGAAGGTGGTAGAACCTGGAGCCACACTTGACTTAACCACCTTGTCCTGTGTGTCGAACTGCATAAGGTCACAGACTGTCTCCAGTGAGTAGAAGGCCCAGCTCGGTGGAATGAGGAGTGGCTGTACACTGGGTTTTGAAGCAGAGGTAGCACCACTCCCCCACCACCATCCCAGCTTCTCCTGTATCCCTAGGACCCCTTGAGGCACTGTGGGGTCAGAGTAGGACTTTCAGGCCCTCCTTGTGAAGGCTCATCTTTATGTGTAATTAAAATAGCAAAAAGGCCACTTGCAGGACTGCTCATTAAACAACTTTGTAAGAGCAAAAAATTGGACACAATATAAATGTCTATCAAAAGGAGTGGTGTGTGTGAAGGTTAAAAAGCTATACAGCAAATTCTAGTAAATGGTCAGCTCTTGGAATTATGGATGGGGGACAGGACTACTTTGTCTTTACACATTTTCTGTGATTTGACTTCTTACAAGGAACACATATCTATTGTTATTTTTTTTAAGTAAAAAAATTAGGGTGCCTGGGTGGCTCAGTCGGTTAAGCGACTGCCTTTGGCTCAGGTCATGATCCTGGAGTCCCGGGATCGAGTCCCACATCGGGCTCCCTGCTCGGCGGGGAGTCTGCTTCTCCCTCTGACCCTCCCCCCTCTCATGTACTCGCTCTCTCTCATTCTCTCTCTCAAATAAATAAATAAAATCTTTTTTAAAAAATTAATTAATAAATAGATGTGAAACTATATATAGTGTGTCTTGAAGGACTATGGCTGGTTAAGCTTAAATTTAGTACATAACCAGGCTTGCATTCGGGTTGAGGCAGGTCAAACTTATGTACCTAGGCAAGTATAGGTTGTATAGGAGCAGTAAAAAGAATATACAAACTGCCAAAGTTGGATGGAATCTTCATATCATAACCATTTAACAGATCCCCATTTAGAATCTGCTATTTACCCTGGATAGAAAATAGTAGAAAAATACTTTTTAACAATAATCGCCCTTATGCAACAAGGCACACTAGAACAATGTCTACTGTTCTTCCATATGCCAGGAACATTGTGTAATATTGATATTTATTTTGTTCCTTTGCATTTTGTAACTTGGGTCCTTCTAGGTGCCTGCAAGGTAGACGCCCTAGGATGAAGGTGAAAGTTCATTGTTATTATCTGGTAACAAAGATTATTGATAAAACCTGTTAATCCTCTGCCTTCTTATTCTTGTCCAAATACGCTCTCTCTGTGACAATCATATGCTTGTCTTAGCTGCTTCAGTACACACAAAGGTAGTACTCACTGTCAGCCATGTCATCTTTAAATATAAAGAAAAATACTACATACAGTTCATCTTGGTCAAGGGAGATGATAGAGCCGGAAAGTTTTTTTGTCTCTAAAACTAGAAGAAGAATCCAGGCTGTGAACTAAAAACAGATCTCATTTTAATTTCAACTTCACCATGAACTAGCCATGTGACCCTGGGAAGTCACCTAAAATCCTTAAGTCTCATTTTCCTCAGCTGGAACATGGCACAATAATATCAGCTTTACTGGATTGTCATGATGATTAAGCAAGACCATAAAATTAGAGCTATTTTATGGGACCTAATCCCTTAGCAGAACCAAAATCCCGAGGAAGTTGAAACCAATTATGCAAGGGTGATTGCTCAACCTGTCCTAAATCAGGATATTTCAGAAAATGTAAATACTATAGTTCACTGTATACTAAATCAGCACTGAGGATTACAAGCCAAATAAAGGAACAGAAATAAATAACACTATAAAGATACAGACTTACAAGTATACCCACACCCAGAAAAACCAGTATCTGTCATGATCTTTTTTGGGGGGCCCACATGACTTAGAACCCTTTCCAGTAAAAATTTTCCTCCTTAAATATTTTTGCCTTTTATACAACAATAGTGTCTTAAGCAATTTCAACTTTTTCCCACTCTTCTGTCACCTAAACCATAACTTGAACTGTCTATACATAAGGTATTTCCCTTCCATTTCTTTCATTACTCAATTATATTCTGTTACTAGTTTGCATAAAAATATTTTCCCAGTGTGTCCTTACTACTAAGGTTGTTGCTTCATTATCGTAGGCAATATCATACCACTGTTTAAAGCGACATTGCCATGGAAACATCATAATGTGGTAATCGGATAGCACTACATTATTCCAGGGTTATTGTTGTCAGCTGTGAAAACTTGCCAGCATCCCTTCTTAATCGTTATCACTATGTGATTATACAGATGGGCCCAATTATTTTCTTTTCGAGAAATCAAGGTGAAAATTGACATTAAACTCTTAGGGTAAATCTGGTAGAGGATCAAATTAGCCCAACTAGCAGTTAATATTGCTGACCTTAAAATAATCACCAGAATAAAATGTAAGAGGAGCCCAAGTTCCCTCTGTTTAGCTACCTCAAACCAGCAGGTTCATTCCCCTCTTCCTGAATAATAATCTGGAAAGGGATGGGGGTGGGGGAGGAGCATTTTAACAAGAACCCAAGGTGATTGTGATGTACTTTCAGAAACACTGAATTATAGCCTTACAGAGAGAGAAAGCATTTTAGAACACAATATAGAAGAAAGGTGTACACCCTCATATCTCAGAAGACAGAATTTAAAGACAGGGTCTTTCGGGTACAGTGAATCAAGTTATACTGTTCTGAGAATACAGAACAAGTCTGGTCCTTAAGAACAAGATCTGAATAACAAGAAGAGAAAATTATCTTTTCGCTGTGATGTTGGGGGCCCTGCTCTGTCTTGCGTTCTCTGCAGCCCCTGCAGAAAAGGCTCCACAGCCTTGCGGTCACCGCAGCCCAGAAGCACAAGAAGTCTACATAGTCATTTGAGGCACTTAAGTGCCCCAGGGATTTCCTCTCAACCTTCAAGTGGCAGCCATAGCAGAAGCTGCATATTTATACACAGTTGAGAGAAAGGCTAGGGCTTCATGTCTGGTCCATTTTAATGCAGTTCTCTTCCCTTTCTAATTTAAATTCTGTAGAAACAGTATGGTGTAATTCAGAGTTAAGCTCATAGTAATCTTGCAGTGAGCAGCATTTTGATAAGGCCACGTTTTTTAAAATAGTCAACTTGTCTACTGTAGATACTTCCAGTTATCGCTTCCTCATCTGAACTTAAATTTTTAACATTTTGTCAGGCGGAGGGGTTGGGAGGAGCTAAATTGTGGGAGTGCTCTTTTTAGTTCTTAACGCAAGCATACTAATATGAGTATGACCCTGAGAAACAAACCAGGGTCATAAGGCAAAGGAACTTTGTGACTAAGCACATAGCTATAAAGGTGCATGCTAAAATTTATAATTTTGCTTTTAAAAAGTGAATTTTATTTCATATTTTAAAAGCAAGAATTTATTCATTTCTGAGTTGTGACATTAAACATGGCAGTTAATGAATGAAATGATACAAAACTAATCAAAAAATATAAATTAACGTAACAATTCTGTTTCCTCTAGTCTAAAGGACTTTGGAACCATAAATGAAAGCTTTTATAAGAGTATGTTTATTTCACAAGCGACCAAGCAGTTGCAGATAAGCCACTCATTTGAAACGAGCTCAGTTGTATTCAAACTGAATCACATTTTCACATTTTATTTTAAAATGTTCTTTCAGTTCAACTCAAGTATCTATTGAGTGCCTGGTATGTAAACGGTAATATTTTATCCACTCTAGAGACTGACTCTGGCTTCATAAC